GTGTGTGTGTGTGTGTGTGTGTGTGTGTGTGTGTGTGTGTGTGTGTGCGGTCCCAGAGCCTCAGGGCTCCATCTGTTGTCATGCAGGGCATCGAGCTCCCGAGAGAGCGAGAGAAAAATGATGAGCTGAGAACCAAATTTAAAGAGACAGAGTGAAAACTAGACTGTGCAGAACTCCAGATGGTAACAATAATCACTTTGTTTTCTGTCCCGTTAGAGACGAGTACGTCCCTCAGTGTGTCCGACTCTGTGGTCCAAATGTCTCAAGATCGACCATCAAGAGTACCGTTAAAGGACTAGTTCACCCACAAACAATATAAACTGACTCATGGTGGTCTCATCCAGCATTAGCTATACACGCTATCCATGAAATCTTAAACCTAAAAACTTCAAACTAAGCTGAGTTTGAAAGTTCACTTTAAACTCTACTTGGTTATAAGAAACAGGAACACTTCCAGTGGCAGAACTCAGAATAAAAAGTTTATTTTCGTTTTCATCGTCCCGCACATTTAAAATGTGATCGACTTTGTCTTCAGTGTCTCATTTAAAGCCACTTAGACACCGAGTATCGAACCGCTAATCCCCTGACCCACAGATGAATACAAGATATTTCACAATGTAATTTGGTGTCGATTCAGCTTCAAGTCTCCGAGCAGATGAATCCAAATCTGAAATGTGTAGCTGAGGCTTCCTCCTTTCTTCTAACTTGAAACAGAAACCCAGAGATACTGAAGCTCCTTCCTGCACGGACCCGGTCCCAGCCTGGGACTAGTTTCTCTGTTTCTTCTTCTTCTTCTGCTCTTTCTTTCAATCCCGGAGTGGAGTTGGCTAATACAGCGATAAGGAGGAGACGTCATGTGACTGTTCCAGCGGAGCAGAAATCTCAGGTGATCCCAACTGTCGGGAGGATTCCACCGAATATCTGAGTGTGTCTGAGCGTGTGTGTGAGCACGCCAAGTGGACTAATGCGTTCTGTTGAGTTCTGGCTCCATCTGGGATCCACAGAGACACACAGGCAGCACCGCTTGTTTTCCAACACACACACACACACACACACACACACACACACACACACACACACACCAGCATTCCTTTACTTTATGTATCTTTTCATCATTCGTCTTTCTTTTTTCTTTTCCTATTTGTCTCTAGTTCTTTCTCTCATGCCGTCGCTTCGGGCCGACGCACAACAGATGGACTAAACTCAAACACACACACGTATACACACACACACACACACTCAGGAGCTGCAGGCCCGTCAGCTGTCTGCCTGCTGCTGCCTCACTGGAGCTGAGAGCTCCAGTCTCATCCAGTCGCTTCATCCAGAGCTGTTTGAAATAATGTAGAAAAGAAAATATTCAATGAAGTCTGGATCTTTTTTAGACTTTTGTTTTTCTACAAAGTTTCCTGACAGAACAGAAGAGTCGGTATGAACATAAGAACACTGGAGCTCTTTACCCCTGATGATGAACATGAGATTCAGTGAGAGCCGATCAGAGGAGGCCTGGCTCTCCAGTAGAGGTCCGATCTCAGTGGCCGGCATGTAGACACAACAAGCATCACAACGAAATCTAATTCGTAAAACTATAAATATCTCTTTCAGGAGATTTGTTTGAGTTTGATTTATAATTATACATTTTCCGATCAGATCCGGCTGCCTCTCTGTCCTGTAAAGATCTTCTGTGGATGTTTCTCTGCTGCCGGCACAAAGCAGACTGAGACTGGATGAAGATGTTTATCGCTGTTATCTTCATCCAAAGTCTTTTAGCAACACTTTCTCTCGATGACCTTGGCACTGAGAGGTAATTTGGAGGTTGTTCTGCGGTTCAGAGGACAGGACGGATGAACGCCGGGTCTCTTTAGGACACAGTCTGTTTCAAAGCGGTTTTAGGAAACCAGCCAGAGGTGAGGAATTTATATCCAGCAGCGAGCAAAGCAGAAGCCAAAACCAACCAGCACCGCTGAGAGCTGAGAGGAGTTTAAAGGGATTATTTCCAAAAAAGAGCTGGAGGACGACAGTCACAGATGAGACTCTGAGTGTCTCAGATCCCGGGGAGATACCGAGGTGAATCGATTCCACAGAGGAGAGCAGAGAGCCTCTTCAGCTGGGGAGACAACATCAGGTTCAGGGTTAACAAGCTGATTGCTGCTGTTCAACTAGCACAAAGGACTGCATTGTGATGTTGGCGGATGTACTTCAATTGCTTTTTGCACACTCCCTGTGGGGCCTCGGGATGAGGGTGTTGGTTCAAAGCCACACAGAACCGCATGGAAGCTGTCGCTGTTACTATCAATATATTAGTCAGTGTTGAGAACGGCGGTGTTTAAACGACATTAGCCCGCACAGGAAGTAACCTGCAGTGAAGATGTTTTTTATGATTTGCAGTCAGACCAACATGATGTCACAGAAATACTTGAAAAGACCCAACGTCCTGTTATATCTTACAACAATATTACTCGTTTTCTTTTGCATTTTTCCTACAAGAGTCCAGCAAAATGTGTCAACTTCGTTACATGCATACAGTCTTTTCAAAATAAACGTCTGTCTAACGTCCGTGACTAATTGATGTTTTTTTGGGGGTGAAGTGTTGCTTCAAACAGCGTTGCATAAACAAAAAGCTGATTCATTCGTCAACCGTGTTGGTTCAGGTTTACTCCGTCTACAGGAAAACACTTGAGACGGACGGATAAATGAGAGGAGACACTGACGAACTGACGGCTTGTCAATACTCGTCAAAGGTTTGTTTGGGAGTTGGACGAACCGCTGAACTCTTTTGTTTTTTTTGCTGGATGCCGCTGGTTGATTGATGGGAACAGAGCTTCAGGGCGAATTAAGGCTGCACATCAGCCATGTTCAGGTATCGCTCACAGGAAACCCCACGGTTTGTTTCTCTTATCCTCGTACAAGAGGAGGGCGTGTTTTCTACTGACAGGAAGTCGATCGGCTCGTTTGATTGGTAGCATGTCACGCAGCTTTGTGGAGACTTTGGAGGTTGTCCTTCACTTTCCCACAACGCCGTTATTTGTATCCACGGTTACATTTCATTATGTCCTCACAGGGTTATGAGTTGTGGGAAGAGAAACAGTAACTTCCTGTTTGCTGGTTTGTTGTCTCGTCAGCACACAAAGCCAAAAAAAGTGTCACTTCACACTGAGAGCAGAGCTCATTACGCGACACACACACACTCACTGCATCTCTAAAAGCACCAATTAGAGACATTTAATCACTATACTGTCTGGAGGAGTTACTCAGTCTGAGAGGAGTTAATGTGACTCACCACGCAGAGCTGCTGAAATATCTACATTTTGAGCAGCTGGAGGCGCAATGAAGGCTCGATTTCAGCTAGAAAAGCCGACTGCGTCAGTTTGAACAGTTGCAAAGATTTAAAATGCAATCATACTGACATTTGGGGAAGCCCGTGTCTTTTGGGTCTAACTTTGGATGGACTCATGTCCCGGACCTTTCTCTGTGCTGGACACATTTCTGTTCAGACTTTCAAAAAAATATTCCTTCAGTTTGATCTGTTCCCGAAACGACAAAAAAATGACTCCGAAAAGACTAAAAACTGATTCTGTGCAGCCAAACATCGTCCAGACCCAAATTACTTCGTTTTTAAATTCTAGTGGATCTAAATATATTTACAGATGATTCGTAAGTTAAATCAGAAGGAAATGGAATAAAGCAGAAACATTAGTCCACTTAACTTGAAGTTGCTTTTGGTATAAATATAGTTGAAGTTCTCCTGATTTGAAATTGTGAGTTGAATTAGTGTGGAATTGTATATTTGTTTGACACGATAAAGTTTTCTTGAATGGACAATTTAACATAGTTGTTTTAAGTAGTGTCAACAACAGCGGATCATTAAACAACTTGTGTGACTTAACTTTTTAAGTTGAAACAAAACGTATCTTCATGTTGAGTTTACTCATGTTTTTTAAGACTGCAATTGAACTTATGTTTCCAACTTTACCAGACTTGTTAGTTATTCAGAGGGACTAGTTGTAGCACAACGAAGATGACATTAAAGCAAATGGAAACCTTGAAAGTAAAGAATGAGACAACTGCAAAAAACTCAATCTATCTCTGTTTGAACCGTTCTATCTTCTTAATTTAACAATGATTCAGATTCAGGGACAAACCAAAGAATCCAGAGAGAATTCTGCAGTTTTCTAGTTTACTTCAACGCAGACAGGTTGTCTTAGAGACAGCAGAGGACGAATAAAACCCTCTTTCTCTCTCTCCCTCTCTCTCTCCCTCTCTCTCTTTCTTTTCCTGTGCAACTGAGTGTAACTCGTCCGGACACCAGTGCAGTGATTAAATGTCTCTAATTGGAGCTTTTAAAGACACGGATGAGACGGAGTGTGAAGCTGCTGCAGCTATTTTAGTGTCACTTCAAGATGAGGAGAGAGCTCGTTATGTAACACACACACACACACACACACACACACACACACACACACACACACA